GACTTTTGCTGGTGGGTTGCCTAGCAATAAATATCGCAAACAAAAATTGGCCCCTTCAGCCCCGATGTAGAGCTCTGGGCTTCAGCTTGCAATGGCAAGCCTTTTCTAGCAGCAGCAGCAGCAGCACAGAGGCTAAGCTTGGCTTTACCGTAGTTTTCCCGATGTTGTTGCTGCTGCAGCTGCTGCTGTTGCTCTTCCCTAGCTGCTCGTTTTTCCTCATCCTCCCACTTCGCTCGTTCTCGCTTCGCCCGGACGCTACGCCGTGTTGCCATCTGCAGCTGTCGAAGACGCGGAGAGTTGAGGTTGCTCTCGAATCTGGTTATTGTCAAAGAACACCCAAAGATGTACAGCTGATCTATGCGACAATCACCGGTAGGTGGCGCGCCACGATAGCTATCCTGAGGTTGTTCTTTCGACCATTACGCCTCGAAGCGTTTGCGCGGCAATAGTATGTGTTTTTTTGTGCGGACTGCCTCACAGATGACCTTGCATGGATGGTTCGGCAAGCTCATCATCACTACAATACTCCCCTATCTATATTCCCCCTGCGCCTTCGAGCAGTGCGTCACAGATTTGTACATAATATAGAGACGGCTCGACCGACGGACACAAACATGCAGTCATGCACTTTCATACCATTTATTTAGGCACGTATCTTAAATCAATCTCACCGATATCGGATTTAATGCGAAGATAATAAGAAGTTAAATGTTCATTGTGATTATCTTATTATTATATGGTAGCATATTATGAAACAGTGTTATAGTATTAGAAGATCCATGCAGTATTTTAGTCTGCTTATTGCTCAACAAATAAAATCGAGTAAATATAGTAAGTGTTATTCCATACTGATTCTGCGATAATCCGAAATCGGTCGGTACGCTTTATTCGCGGTTGGAGAAACAGTATGTCTTTAACGAGCTACCTATCTCTCTCTACCTACATACATACCTACATATATATATATGTAGGTAGAGGGAGAGGGGGGAGAGAGAACTGAGTTACTACTGGGTTGAACGCCTAAACGTCTCTCGCACAAAATAAAGATCTTTATTCTCAGATTTACACATTTTTAGCTTTAGTAAGCGCTGAAAAGGAACCGTGCCAGAGCTCACTGATCCAATAGTGCACAAGCGCGACGTCCCTCCCGTAAATGTTGGCGTAATGGTAATATTTTCTCTCGTCTGCTTCGGAAGTCTACATATTTTGTATCAGCATCAGTCACGTCTTCACACGTCACCGGATTTCTAATTCGCGTACGGGTTTCTCACTCTAGAAAAAGACACGTTCTCGCATGCAAGTGCATATCGTATCCTCAGGCACCTTCAGCGGACTTATGTTGTCTTCGTTTCACGAAGATCGCACTTCAGCAGATGTATGACTTGCATACAAATTCATAGTAGCAAAATCTTCACGCAATGTAGTTTGCATTGGTGTTGGGATGTGAACATTCCACTTACGCAAGCTAACTTGCGGCTTTAATCACCTCCGAAAAATCGTCCTATCATCTGTTGTAGCTTTTTTCTTGATTTAATAACTCGTGTTGTTTAGTATGTGTCGTGTCATCGATTATATATATATATATTCGAAAGTAAAACTCCACGGATATTTGAAGCGGGGCAAAACAGGGTATCGAAGCATTACCTCCTGCGAAGTCTACTTGAGATGAAATGTACGATTTACAGACATTCTAATAGTAGAACTATTTTCGTGTACTATTGCATAAAATACTATGTTTGCTATACGTGTGACATGAAGGGGTTCCTATAAGCACTACAGACAAATGTCACTGTAATTTGAAATGGCAATGCCAAAGAAGGCTTTAGTTGGCGGGGTAAGTTCAACCTATAAATAATTATAGGCCTTTTTCTGACGTTGATAATAAGATATCTAGAGATAGGGAGACTATAAGTATATATAACAGGCGTGTGTTTCGTAAGGATAGATGTCTTGCTTCATTGTGGAAATTGCCGGCTGCAGACTTTCTAGGGATGGTCAAGGTGTGCGTGTCGCGAAAGAAACCGATGCAGAAAATTGTGATTTAAGGAAAAAGACTTGTATAAAATACAATTTTCGTTAGTCATAACCCGGCTCGTGCTCTGGAGTAACAAACCACTGTTGAAATTATACTGTGACTTCAAAAACATTCACAACCTCAACGCTCGCTTATTTTTCGTGCGGTTTGACGCTTCTTATACAAGCGAATATATTTATTGTTTATTTATTATTCGTGCTGCACGTAGTTATGCTCTATTGTTGATCATCGCGGTTACCGTTGCAATGAGTTCACAACAAATGGACATGGAAAAAGACTGTTTTTTGCGTCTCCATTATTCACTAGTTTGCGTTTATCGCTGATGGGAGGGCTCACGAAAAGCTCCGACAATGCGGTCACACAACTTGTCAAAAACACTCGTCGTTGCTTATGCTGCCAAAAACAGTTTCGGTGCTGTGGGCAGGTTGAGCACAAGACGACTTATTGCGTGAAAAAGTATTTATTACGTAATTGAGCAAGCTCTTATCCGCTGGAACTTCAATATCATCCCGCATTATCAAATCGATTTTTTGTTCGAAGGTCTGAGAATTAATTAACAATGAAAAAAGGCAACACTCCATATTTAGTAGCAATATGAACGGACAAAGCTCCTCCGCGTAACTAAACTGCAAGGTCTGTCTTCTTCAAGATCTTCGATATATCGAAGAAGGATGCAACGGAGACTGGACAACGCGTCCTTTAATGCGTTTTGGTGAAAAATCAAATTTATTATTACACAATGCCACTCGATAAAAGCGCCTTCCTTAAACAGGAGTACAGCGTCTTCGATCCCAGGTCAAGCGGAAAAAAAGACTGGTGTATGCCAACGACTTTCGGCGACCGATTCGTATCGGTCCTCTTGAAGGTGATGTATTTTCGGCTATTTTATTGACTGCTCATTGTAGAATCCTATTAGCTTCGTTTCGGACAGTGTCCCTTCAAAATTACCTGCCCCCAACAACTAAATTCGACCACACTAAGCTACAGATCGGAATGCCTTTTGCTACAAGCATCAAGGAACCGTATTAAACTTAAACAGTTTACCCCATTCTAGATAAATCAGTAATGCAGTATGCGTTTCCCGAACTATACACCGAACGTATCGAGCATATTTAGTTGACACCGATACGTGGGGCCGCGAACGCAGTCAGGCTGCGGAAAAATTAATCAGGCTACATCGAAGCTCTAAATATCTGCAGTCAGCGAGGAAGCTTATTATAAGGTCTATCTGTACCACGCAGGGCTTGACTGCATAATATGGGTGTCATTTACGTAACATCCTATTTTGTGTCATAGGTCGTAATTGAAGCCTCTCGAATTATTAAGGAATGATTTATGCTATGGAATATCTAGCACACTGTACCGCGTGTAAGCAAGCAAATGGGTTTTCACGAACCCACTTTAAGAAAAAAACAGCTCAGAATTGATTTATAGGCGTTCCTATTTTCAGATGAAGACCCAGTGCGATTTTAAGTATCAATACCGAAGCACCAATTTCCAGTCCTTTCGTGTCGACCGATAATTATATGGAACCTATTGGCAACCTGTAGAATGTAGAGACTGCTTAGTCTATTGAGTGGCGCTATTTGGAATGTTACTCATATAAAATGCCATGTAAAGCGACTAATGAACGGTTGAAATACTCATTGTGACCGCCGGTAAAACCATTAACCTCTGAAGGTAGAAAACGGTTAACGTTCCTTTGCATAGACTGGCTATTCTGTTCCGCGTAACAGGCCACTCGAGCATGACTGCAGTGATTATACATATGTGAGTTGCAATATTTGTGTGCAAATGTGGAGGATGTATCTGCCTGTTAGTCCGGCACAGCTTATGTACACATTGTCTGTACGCTGCTTGTGAAGTGTACTCAATTCGATGGCTTTAATTCAGTAATTGATGTCGGAAAGGGTTAGCGAAATCACCCGTTTTTTTTAGGCAGTTTTTAGGGAAAATTGAGCTGTTTGAAAACTTTTGGCAAATTTCATTACGCTCTCGTTATAGACTTTCTATAAAGTTCGCACACACGTGTCTCTATCTAATTTTCCGACGTTTGTGCCTTGGAAACCAAATTAGCTTAGCAATAATACGACGCGTTCATTACGAGAATATCATATAATTTCCGGCTTTGTTTCTCCCAGCCTTCGCCTGACCGGCGGCAACCGAGACCGATAACCGCTAGCAGACGCGCGACGCATATCGCTTGTAGATAGCTAACAGCATACGGCCAGAGCTAGAAGGGCAAAACGGGTCTGTTTGCCTTACGGCGTTTGCTGGCTGGGTATGCCAACTCGGAAGATTTCAAGGCCGAACTGTGACGATATCGCCGTGTCGGCCTCGCTCTGAACGCCAAAGAGAACGCCGCTTGGTATAACAGCAGCAGTGTGCAGTATAGTAGAAGTAACGGTGTTTTGGTCATTTTTTAAAAATAACCTAAACGGCAAGCGCGTCTGACAGAATTTATGATTGTTCAACTTTGCTGAACTCACTGACGGATAGTGATTTTTGTTTCATTTAAACAATGTTCTTTTCCGTGGCTAGAAAAATCTTGTGTGTATATTCTCTTAAGTGTTAATGTTTGTGAGCTTTTCGAGCATTCGCGACTCTCTTGAGGGAGGCGCCAAAACATAAAACCGTAGTACTGGACATAAACTAAAATAGCTCTTTTTAGTTTAATTGTATATTATGTTATAACTAAGGCGGCTTATAACTACCTACTACTACTATGACTAATTCTAATGGAGTAAATTCCGGGTCATGGGCACATTTAATTAGTTTTTGGTCAATAAACGATAGGTCATTAATACTTGTGAGTACACAGCCTCTATATGGGCTCTCCTCTGCCTCTCTGAGGGCTAAGAAGTAAAGAAGAGGTAAATGGGTAAATACACCGGCCCTGTTCTGTCTTGTGTTTGTGACTTGATTATGATAACGGCCGTTCAAAATTGGCTGTTTCAGATATAGATTCAATTCGACAGCTGTTTGTATGGCATCAGGATTGATTGATAAAGCCGTCTGCTCGTCTGTTATAAACACACATTATTCATCCATACCTACCGGATGGGAACGGTAAGCGGACGTTCTTATTTATGTACTGTTTGCCAATGAGTATTCTGTCTCGAGAAGGCTCTATGGTCGCCACGCAACACCTCACTAAACCATCTAGATATTAATGATTCCTAAAATCATTTTATTATCAGTAGGGGAAAGAGAAAGTGGATCCGATGCAGTCCGCTAGTGGCCGGTTCTCAATGTACATCGTTGACCTCTCGGCAATACGCATGAGGCACTTGTTATGCCAACGTAAAATTAGTTACTCAGCTGTTAACTGCTCATTCGCTTGAGGTTGCGTTTGCCACTGGTAACTATGTGCTCTGATTGCCGCTGCTCCTACAGTATAAACTAAAGCGTTCGCGATAATTACTGCAATTTGAAGGTTTCTTCACAGTATGATGACGCTTGACGTTCCAACATTTCGGAAAAAGTGCACCGAGCACTTTATCTTGTATGAAATAATATATATGTTGAGGCCCAAAACCCTGGCCATAATAAGGCCGGACCTTAAGTTTCATTATTTCAAAATATACCGGTATGGGCAGTCTTGCTATTAAACCTGTTGCCAATTACACATATAAAAGAAAATTCAGACATCGGTTTTTTCTTTGGCGTAAGTCACTCAAGGTGAGTGCAGGAGACACTTTGAAATTCGCAATGAGAAATATCACAGGCCATGGCCGTATTTAGGAGCTAGATTTGCCCTCGGGCTTTGTTCTGCGCGCATTGATACATGTATACGAACTTAGCGTAGTCAACTAAGGCGTGATTATGCTTTTGATTTTTAGCACATTTTACAGAACTATTGGTTATATGTATATTATAAAAGCAATGAAACGGTGCTCGTTAAGCTCATTGGAACCCCTTCGAATACAGTTATAAAGCAGACAACTCTATTTTTTTGTACGGAAATTTACTAGATATTGGTGTCAATGAATACGTCCTTAGGAATACACACATTTCTTTTAAATCGTTAGTGCAACGATTTACCGAACGTACGGCTGGAGAATGAATATATCTGACATTTCTGCTTTCCCATTGTAGAACTGGAATTTGGCTCATATTGTGAGCCTAACAAAAATGCACTACATTTACAATCAATGGATTAGGCTTAGCAATCATATTGATTATAAATAAAGTTAAACAGAGTTAACGTCAGCTATTTGTAACAGCTAACGAACGCTGGGTAACACGAAGGGGCCACGATGTGTTTCATGGAAGAGGAAGCCATAGCGACGCGCCTACATATCCAAGAAACGAATCTGGTCTCTGAAGCTTTGTTATGCGCGGTACGTGCGAGCAGGGTGGGGAACTGGGAGCCGAGGGTAGTTTTTCCAACTTTAGACCGAAGACAAGAGGAGGAGAATTCAAAGGGGATTCCGCCTTAGACGAAATGAGAGGTGATGTAGGGGAATCGCACATGGTAAAACGAAGCAGGGCAGGCGAGACAGAAGAAAGGAACGGGGCGCGGTGAAGTCGAGGGAGATGTCTGGGTTCTGAGCGGTGGCGCAATGCAAATTTTACAAGCTACTTACGGTCGACTCTTCTTCACACCGGTCCGGGCGTAAAGGCACCTCTCCCCTTGTCCTTCCAAATCGTCTGTTGTCCGATGGATGGTAGATATAGGTATATACCGCGACGTCCATCCAACCAAAGACAGTGTACTGTTACAAAAACACACTGACCGAGCGGCGAAGTAATGCAGGAAGGCCATCGAGGGACGGTTGTATTGGGAGCGCAGACCTTGCTCAACACGACGACGCCAACGAGGAGAGCGCATAGAAAACGATCACTGGACCTCTGTGGGTCTCGAGCTCATGAGCTTTCACGGAAGTTGGAACAGGAAAAGGTGCGAAAGGAGGCCCCGTACTTGTTATGTAGTGTTAGGGGGTCTGATGGCAAAGGCAGAGGATATGGGCGAATTGAGAAAACCTAGCAAAGCTGGAGCAAAAACGAGGAGAACTGAAAGAAGTTACTGTGAAAAAATTGCAAAGGGTCGGCCAAACAGGGCGAATACATACTAGACGATTGTAGCAGGTTCATAGCTATGATGGCGGCGCTCCTAGAAGATCGTATTTCATCACGAAGGAACGGTAAGGCCAGGCAGCAGATAGTCGCCGATGTGGTGTCTTTCGAGACGCTTTAATAAGATCGTTTCGGCTGTATTCCGTCGTTGCTGGACAACACATACAGACACATCCGCGCATAATGTTGCTGCTGAACTACTAGAGTTCTTGCCTTCTCGCTTGGGAGTTCACCCAACTGATAATATGGCGGTCGGTCAGTGGATTGGCTAAGCGGACGCAGTATCGACTAGTCTTAACAACTCCGTGGAATAGATGAATTCGATATAACTGAATTAGAAGCCGAAGCAGTAGGTGCTGTCGCCTCTGCGGCTATTGCGATACTACGATTTCGGCCCGAACGCTTTTCCTTTCTCACTAGCTTCCACACAGTCGTTTACTTGCTATTACGTGCTACATTTTGTACTTTTATTAAAAGAAAGATTCGCAGCTATATCTCACTGCGCTTTACTATCGATAGTACTTATTAAGTGGCAGTGACTGACTAGATGAGCGCATGCGTAGTCGATCTGCGGCATATGTCTGCTTGCTCGCTTGTGGGTGTACAAGCGTCTCGGTGGGCTGATAATTGCTAGGCAACGACAACCGCAACTTGGCGCAGCAAAAGTACGCCGAAGTTACCTTTGATCCACCTATTGAGTAAGCAAATAAGTGGCCATACAGCGGGTCGAATTCGATGATCGAGTAGAGGCTCAAACACAAAAGGGGACGTGGCTGTTTGAAACTTGCGCTGCTTCGTGATAAAAATCATTCAAAGGAAATGACGCAGATCATCATGTTCGGGGGCATATGTTCTCATTCTAATGCAGCTGCACAGAGATGACGATCACATTGTCGAGAGTATTATTGATGCTGCTCCTACACCATCATCACCGCTTTCTGTTTCTTACCCGCCTTCTCGTACTCTCTTCGCGCCCCCGCCGCCGCTGCTGTTAATTGGTAACATGTAAAAAATGTGTCGGTCGGCCTAGTATAATAGTACGAGCTTGGTATGCGGTGCGGCGAGTAAACGGGCGAGCATATAGAGAAGAAACGGGTGGAAACCCCCACGGGAAATGTTGTGCAACGTAGTGTTCCTGTTTCTGGGGGGTAGACATAGTATTCATATCATGCATTAGGCTGGGGTAAGCCTGTAAATTGAATCATACGAAAAATGGAATGATAATACCGTTGGGATGGAGATGGCACGACCGCAGAAAGACGTGTTGGCTGGATCGTTCCTGAAGTTTATTATGACTTTGTATTGCTTTGGCTATGTCTACAAGAGTTTCCAATTTTTATGAAAAGGGCCAGGGACGGGCAAAACACAATGAATGCCGTGTTAATGAAAATTTAAATTTCCTGCAATACTTGATTAGCACCTGCTCCACGAGTACGGAGCAAGCGGTTAACAACTGCTCCGGAGAAATAGGACATGTATTATGGCGAAAGCAAGTTAAATACGTTGGACACACTATGGCCTTGCAAAACAGTTGGGTACAACTGCTGTAATCTTTGATGGAAGACTTATGTAAGACATCTGCGTTCCAACACAACACTTGAATAGAGCTCTAACTGAACCAGTAACGCCTGTTACTGCACTCGCGATATCTCACAGCTATTTGAGCCGGCCAGTTCCAATCAGTTGAGAATTTGACAAAATTCTATTAGCTTAAATCGTACCTACCCTTAAATGGGTAGGTAAGAAATTCTGTCGGTGTCTCTCTATCTGTGCAGGCGATCGAGACAAGTACGCAATAAAAGCTGGGTTTAGCCTTTTCGTTGTATTGGAATTCACGGAAATTGTGAAATATTTAGGTACAAATATGTTTATTTATACACAAATTATTGCCCTTTTTGAAGTATGGTATTCTTGATGTGCCCATTTTTATTGCAAACATAAATAATTTTCATGGTTCGCTCTGAATCTACTCTGGAATCCGTGCCGTATCAATTTTATATGCAGTTCAGCCGGCATAACCGTTCACGTCTGCGACGCGTAAATACGCTATGATCCGATCAGCTGAACTCAGATGGTTCGTTTAGCCCGTGCCATTACCCATCATGAGAAACTTAATTTTCTTAGATTTTTGTTACATTTGCTGACGACACGGTGAGGTTATACAGAGTCTCGCTAGCTCGCTCGGTAATAGGATTTCTGACGTAAAATAAGATCCTCTTTGTAAAGGTCGGTACATTAACCTGAGTGAAGAATGGTCAGATGGTGGCGCTTTACGTTTTGTACGTTTCATAATATAGTATTATAGTACACTGTTCGCTGACCCAAAATAACTTTGCCATTGAAAAACCCAGTTTTTTTTTTAGCTCGCAGCCAGTGGCTGATAAAGAAACAACAAGCCGGTTAAATTCTTCAGTTTGTTCAATAACTTGAATGAGGTCGATACAATCGCGTTAGGGTTGCAAGCTCTCAATTTAAAAAAAAAAACAATAATTTTTAGGATCTCGTGTAGACGAGATACATTCAGGAAATATTAGGTTAAAAATGTAAGGATACGAGCAAAAATACTAGGAATAATATATATATATATATATATGTATATATATATATCTTTCTTTTCTGTCAAAAACGTTGCCAAATGAACATAATTTAAGTTTTTCGCGTAAAATAGTTTATTTTATTCTTGATCGATATATAACAATAATGTTGTAGATTTCAAAAACAGAGACTAACGATATAAAACTGGAAGAAGCATAACAGAGTGAAAGCTCAGTGTCTTACATATGCACGTATATCCTTATATTAAGCTCAGTGTATCATGAAACAATAAAAAGAGCAATGTCTGTGGTACTACTCAGACAACTATGGGCCCTATATATATTTGCTATGGCTGCTAAGTTAGCCTCTTATTATGTAAAAGTTTTAGGTATTTTAGGTAAAAGGCTGCCTTGTGTGATACAAATCTGTCCAATTTTGCCAAGTTAGTTTACGTGAACACGTCCTTTTGTCCTTACTATTACAACTTTTCTTTTTTGAAACTAGAAACAAGCGTAAGAGCCACCGCAACTATCACTGCATCTCATCAGCAAGAGGAATCAGTTTCGTGCAATTTTTTTAAGGTCTACGGGCTTTGACAAAGGATTTCGCGCCAAAAGGCGACTTAAATGATGGTCAGTACAACACCGTTTTTCCTGCTGAAATAGAGAAAAAGATGGTAATTGACAAGCCTCACATACCTTACTGTATAAGAGATCGTTTAGGAGACGAAATTTCCCTGTGGAAAATCTTGATGCAGATAAATTTAACAGTCATAGTATTTTCATAGACTAATTATATTAAATATCTATATATGAGGCAAAAATAAATGCCTACAATGTGTAGTAGTTTAATTAATTATATATATATTACATCCTATCTATTTCAGCATTTGTCACATCAACTTTTTACTTTATCACGCATGTTGTATGTCTCCTTGAACGACCATCGTCGTCAATTGATAGTATAGCATGGGTAAATTTATGAGTCCCAGCAGATCGTCCCATAAATAGACAATCGTCTAGTGTTATTTTTATGATCAAGCTTATTTAGAAAGAAAAATTTAAAAATTAAGTACCCTCAGGTGACATTAGAATTATGCGCAAGCTCAACTGTGACTAGAGTCTATAGTCTTAGTCAAAAGACTGCTTTTTCCGACGTTTCCACCAATTTACTATGTAATTGAGTCACTATTATAAATTTAAACGAAAACGGTAATCTTTGAGGATAAATATTATACACAAACCAGCTTCTTCTTATTGTATCTCATTTCGACGCAGAAAAGTCACAAAGCGCAGCGAGGCGTGGTAAATTACCACAAGGGAAACACTGAGAACAGGGAATGGTGGCAGCGTGACAGCTTAATGCAAACGTGAAAACACGATGGCGGAGAGGCGGTGAGTAAACGAGATCGTGCTAGCAGACGAGTGGTGTCGCATAAACGACAACAATGACCGACGAGTTGCTAAACCATCCAGGCCTTCGGCATGCCGAAACTGGCGTTGAACTTGCGTCGTTGGCCTGTTCGCAGTAAGCACTTGTTTAGTAAGGGAACAAACCTTTAGCGATAACAAAAGTAACAGCAGCCTACCACGAAAGCAGACTCCTTTTTCGTGCTTTGTTTTCACGTAAGGTGCAGCTAAAGTTTCGTAAAGACTAGGATGTTAGGTTGCTGAGTTCTGCTCATGAGCACTTGAGGCGGGCGTAAGATATTGTATCTATAAGGAGAAAAGAATGTCGCAATACCCGTGGTATAACTCAATGGTAGGACTAAATATGGCTATAGCTCAAGAAACGCGTGTTCCAGTGACGTGCTCACTCACAAAAATAAATATACAAGGCGCAGTAGACATAGGCTTGCAGTGGAGGTTACACGATGGCAAAATAGGGTTTTAAATTGGTTGAAGAAGACCAGGAATCGCTGCGCTACGTTCCGCCAACGACACATTCTGCACATTGTACGAATGGAGCATGCTGTTTTCACTTTGGAAAAAGGTTGGTTGAAAGGGGTGCTGCCTCGACTGTAGACCTATGGTCTTCATATATATATATATGCTGCTTGATATAATATTCGCTCCTTATATTATATGTAAGACAATGTTGTTAATCACTACGGCAGACACACTTATATTTCAAGGTATTCGTTGCTACAAGTAGCTATTTAACTACTTAATAGAACGAAAACCTTGACGAGTTGATGAAGAAATAGGTCTTTTTGAGCTTCGACGGTACAAAAAGTTTGGAACGACGGAAGTTTTAAAAATCGGAAGGCAAACTCTGTTAGAATTATTAGCAAAAAGCGACAAAGTTTATAAACGTCGGCCGAAATATTAAAACTAGAGCGATCTATTACAGTATACTATGGAAAAATAAAAGCAGTCTTTGAATTTCGCAGTCCTTTATAAAAACTAACTCTCAGCGCCATGCGAGCGTTTTTCAGTGATTCAGAACTTCTTTTCGTGTGGCATTGCGACTTCCAGCGTTCACCCCCGAGATAGAGGCAACGTTTAGCCTCATGTTTGTAGGACCCGTACCTGTGTTCAGGTGCTAACAATTCATCAATCTTTAGAGAAGCCACCTATTGCGTGTTGGACAGTTTTAGCTCTAGGCGGCACATTTACTCTGACTGTCGAGGCATTTGTTTTCTGAAACTGTCGTTGTCTTAAGCTGCTACTAGACTAATTACATTAAGTGCATTGACACACAATCGTTAAACAACCGCTGGAGGACTGATCTTAGACAACTTGATATTGACTTAAACATGAAATACAATAACCAGCTGGTCTATGATATCCCCTGGGTATGTGTGACAAAAGGCTATTATATCATACTAACAGAGCAATAGAATAAACACCTTAACCAAAAAAACACATACATTAATCTACCCTAAAGGTATTACTTTTAAAAGCAGTTTCTTTTGCCATCTACTTTTAATAATACGTACGGAGTTTACAATTCTGCAACGGCAGCTAGTTCAATTGGAAAACTTTGTCTGCTGCATATCTTCAAAAAAATGGGATGATTTAGAGGCTATTGCGTATACGTACCCGAGAAAGGAGCTTTTGGAGCTAGCTGTGTCTTTCCGTCACTAAAGGCTTCAGTCATTCCGTGACTGCTTGAAGCACATGCTCGATTACTCCGTTGTACCGTAAGCGTCCTACAGCCGTTTCGATGTGTCTGATGTAGTTCCTTTAAAGATAATCCTGCCGCATGTGAAGCAGATCATGTTTTCCGTCAGGACGACGCCGAAGTCCCCAAAGAAATACTGCGCAGCATGCAACGCCCGGATCAAAGCGTTCCACATCACCCTCGGGCCAGAATCAGCTGCACAACACGGGTGCAATAGTGCACCAAGATTTAGAAAACCTCACCGCTTGGGCCTTTTAAGGCGCCTATAAAATCTACCCTTGGATGCTTGAGACGCTGAAGGGGTTTATAAAGTCTATCTCAATTTTTCAACGGGGCGTTCTGCAACTAGCGCCGGGTGGAGCAGGTCGCACCGCTCTTGGTTCTGGGGGCGTCAAGCGGAGCGCGTCACGCCGCTTTAAGTCTCAGGGGCGCCGAGTGGAGTCCGTCGCTCTGGATCTCATTACGCCGTTGGTGGACCTCGCAATGGGTCAACATTTCCCGCACCCGCGTCGTAAGCTCGCCCCTAATAAGAAAGCGATCTTTAACGTGTTACAATGCATTGCGCCTGCTAATGTCTGCTGCCATCCTCCCTGAGTAACATTAGGTGATAGCACCAGGTTGGAATGATAGAACATAAAGAGCGACGCGAGACTTTTTTAAATTAGCAATTATCTTACACAGAAAAGTGTCCCTTCTTTGTGCCTTGCGAGGGGCTATTCCATTTCAGCGGCACGGTTGACATCCACATTGGGGCTAGGGGAATCTTGCCCGTAAATAACTTTCAAAGGTGTGCTCCTGTAAGGTCAGAGCCCACCGCCTTCTTTCTTTGAACGAAGGTTCATTTTCTCCTTGAAGTTCTTTAGCGCAGTGCTGTTAACAAACGCACGTAACGTGTCGCTCATACCAGTGCGGTCGGAATTTTTCAACGGCCGCGCTATCTTTGAAAAATGCTATTGCTTTTCCTTCAGAACGACGGATAGCATGACTGACGATTCGCTCGCGGTCTTGTTCTATGTGAGTCAGTGCTGACCCCTTTTTCTGTTTAAGTTAGTACTACCTCCAGCTCGATCCTCTGGTGTCTGTTTGTAGCCTTGTTTCCAGATCCTGCCAAAAAGTGTACAGGACGGATTTTCCGTGATCTTGCAATCGCCGATAGGCCCCATAATGGTCAACGTTTCAAACAAAGTCCTTCAGGTTGACCACGCCGCAGACCGGGCTAGCGATTCCCTCCTATCCCACATAAACCCCCTGGTAATAAAAAACTAGTCCCAAGAAACTTTAAAACTTTTTAGCGGACGTGAGGAGGGGAGGGTTTTTACTTTCTGAGCCTTCTTGAGATCCGCGGAGATTCTGGCGGCCGTGATCTTGAATTTTATAGGGATCCGTGGAAATTTCAACGACCGTGATATTGGCGTAGATTAAAAAAATAGTTTTGCAACTCATCTTCCGAGTTTCAAAAGTACATTTTTTGTTTTCAGTCGTAGGCCGGCAGAGTAGGTTGCCGCTGGACCAGTGTTCCTTATAAGTAGGGTGTACATGTAGGTGTCGAAGTCAGATGAGGAAACTATTGTATGGTTGAGGTAAGCGAGAGCCATTTCGTTCGTCAAACACACAACGATTCTATCCAGTCTGGAATGTCAGGGGTATGGGTGTAGGGGTTGGATTAGTGGAGTCAGATCCTCTCCTAACGTGCAGAATCCTGCCTTCTCCTTGTGATGGTCCATACTGGTCTGCCAATATCCGCTGATCAGGTTTAGGGTGCTAAAGTAGCAAGCGCCGGCGAGCGTATCAACAGCGTCGTCGATGCGGGGCAGCGAGTATAAGTTTGGCTCAATCGACGCAGAAACGTTTCGTCCTGTTTTTGTTCACTATTACTAATAAAAAAGACTACAGGCTGGCTAAGGATTTGATGATGCCGTTGTGCAGCATGGTTTCAACTTCATCCTTTGTGACCTATCTCTCCGCAAACACAACTCACCGGGGTTAGTGGGTCGGAAATATATCGCTGGTCGGTATCGTGTATTGAACAATATCGGTATGGGCAGGTCTGCCTGACTGCCCAAAAAAATATCCATGATGCGATTACATTGTCTAGCTGTCAACCTCATGCCCAGTCTGAGAGGCCCGTTATCATCAAGGGAACAGGAGAGAAGCCCTGTTCGTCGGTTCCATCCGCATAATCTCTTTGTTTGTTGGTTCTAGTCACATAACCTCTTCAGGCTCGTTGTATTTATCCATCGCAGTCCGGTCGCTTACCCTGGTGGGATCACTTTATCAAAAACAGCTTGTTAAGGACCACATACTTAGCGAGGTTGCCGACGATGAAAAAGGGTTCCTCTGATCTTTCATCAGTCGCGACGTTAACTACCCCCCCCCCCTCCCTCCTCCCCCCAACAAAAAACTGTCATCGAGAGGAGCGCTAGGCATTGCATAAGTATGCGGCCTCAGAGGGCTTTGCGATGTTCCGCCAGCGTGGCTTATCCACCAACCGTGGAGCCATTTACGTGCGAGCACAGCGTCAAGTATAAACTACCTTTCCTCAAGCGAATGTGATTTTGCACACAAATGGGTCATCTCGGTTTATGCAACATACTCGAGGACAGTTTATGCTTTACAAAAGGAGGCTAGGAGTTGGGCATCAATTTTTGAAATGACCCTGTTTTCCGCAACTAAAGCATTGCTAGCAGGCCTTCCCGCTATGCCGCGTTAGCTACTACTTACGAATTCGAATCGGCTCTTCTCCCGTGCTCACCAGCGCAGCGCCACCGATGTAGCTGACAAAATGTCACGGATCTTGAACGTCCCTGGAAGAACTCAGTGCCTTAGACTCAGTCGGTCAATCAGGAAGCGTTTCTTTTGGATAAAGGTATAAAACCTCTTGCATATGTAAAATTGAGATAGACCCGGCGTCACTTTCTAGAAATCTCTCTAACAGCTTCACCTTAAATCTTTCCCACGCTGCTGGGGTTGCCTTGAACTTTGCATGTCCCCTGGCTCCTCACAACCATAGCTTTGCCTACTCGGTCAGCGGCTTGAACGCTGTCTCAGGAGCTAGTGGAGAGGTCAACCCTGGACATAGGCAATAAATTTTAAGCAAAGAAAACTTTTGCTAGGCGACATGTACTCCGGCTGCGAAAAGTCAGGTGAGGGCATTGGGAGTGGAGTAACCTTCATGATCTCGGTGTACAGACTAGCGACGAAATCTTCGAGCGTGGGGTTTGCTTCCGATGCGTCGTTTTCCCCTGCGTCCACGCGCCTCTCGCCGGCTGTTCGATGCTCTAACCTCGTTGGTATTCGGCACCGAACATTATCGTCTATCTGGCTTAGCTTGTTATTCGGGATTCGATCCGCTGTCATTGCCACCAAAATGTTGCAAATCACAAAGCTGCTGCTGGCGAACTCCGATCTATTTCAGCTCAACTAGCCCCTACGCTTTACTCATACAGATTTGGCTTGCAGTCATCTAGAAATTCTTATAATAATAACGTTCGCGGTGCCTATATGTATATATATATATATATATATATATATATATATATATATATATATATATAATAACTCTTGAACCAGCGTTGCAGTGGCTCTGCTCACTTAAAAATGGCAAAAATGTATCAGCGTTTCAATGTTGTACGTACTACTGAATATTGACGCTAAACGAGAAGTAATTGAGCCCATTACCGATACATACACTAGACTGTTCACTTTCAATAAGCTATAGATTTCAATCTATAGTATTGTTAGTACACCTATTGTAGCAGAATGACATCTGCTTAGAAAAACCTTGGTCAAATGCTTAAGATGTAGTAAGTCAACATTTGAATTTTTTTGATTGATCAGTAAGAAAGAAACGGGAAATTTGTGTTCCTTGATGTGCTTCTTCAATCTTCTTCGCTTATAAATACCGTACATTAGTAAAAAAGAATTGTTAGGCAACGATTGTGTAGATCTGAGATAAAACAATACGGGTGAAAGGTAATAAAGCGACGTTCGGTAACGATGTTTCTCAGCAGGTTCAGGAGATTTCACTTTTTCAGATTGCAGTTCTAAATCAGTGATTTTTGAAAACCAGGCTTAGCAATACAAATGCACAATGTTTATGTGTATTTAGACTACCAGATTATTAGGACGCACCATTGTCTTATATGAAGCATAATTTTCTGTTGAATTATGATTAGTGGAAGATAATTGTTCCAGCTTTGATCATAATGGAGAATATTGAAATGTCTTTCGTCTGGTTGCCGCCGATCTTTATCCCAGCTACTCGATTCAATCTAGTGATTTTCGACGCGCAATGACGTTCCCATCGAAGAGAAAGCGAGAGAGACGAGCAGTGCTAAAAATGCTGTTACCGGTCATAAGACCGTTGCCATCAGTCTCTTTCGCATGTTGCGGCACAGGAGTAACGGCGTTAGCCACCGCAGGAAACAGAACAAGTGATGGCGACAGGAGCGTCTCAGCTCCCGTTCAAATACACTAATACAACGGCATGTCAGCAGCGCCCACCGGCTGGCGAGTGAGCTTGTGCATGATTTAATTTGACGGAGGAAATATTTACGAATTGTCGACATAAAAAGTAAACTCAGCCATTATTTTTTCGTTCCCGTTGCCGGGTTTGGAGCGACTGCAGCCCCAAAAATAAAAAGCGGCCTAGTCAATGACTGCCCGCAACAGAAATCGAGTCAACGTTAATGTTCAGTAAACTCGAAAGGAAAAAAGATGGGGTGGTGACGAGTGAGGGAATAGTACCATTGGCTTATCCATGCCAGCATTAATACTCGGACTGCTCTGGATTCTACCGCGAACTTCAACTAAACGGATGACAACGGCGGCAAAAAGGACCAAATTACTCAATACCTCAATTCGGCGTGCACATCTAATCAAATCAGGTAGCGACAAAGTGAACAATTGGCAGAAAAAAAATATAGATAGGTAAAGAGAAAAGAGAAATCTGCCTGTAAAAAGCGCTGTCTAAGGAAGGCACGTTTCTGCTTACAGTCATAAAAAGGAGCACGAAGATAGAACGATTCCCGTTCATTTTCCTTGGAAGCTATCAAAGATAACAAGGAAGTGTCAGACGACGCACTCTCACCAGACGCCTCAGTAGATAAAGCACACGACGCCGCCGCTGCCGCCGCCGCCGCTGCCGCCGCCGCCGCCGAAGAGGGACGACGCCAGTGACTTTATTTGAAGACGAGGGAAAGTGGGGATTGAGTAGGCGGATAGGGGTAACGTCTATGAAAGTTTCAGTTAGCAAACGAACATCGCGGAAAGAAAAGCGGGGCTATGTGTGCAAGGGAAAAGTAAATTTGTCATCATTTTCAAAGTGGAGCTCGAGCACATCAAAAGAGAAGGAAGGTTCAAAGCTGATGACCGAGTGTGCAAAACCAAAAGAGAAAATAACCAGAAAGCTAACAAATAAGAATTTACTGCAAGCTAATAAGTCGAAATAGCTTCTGGGAGAAAAATTCCATGGCAAAGAAGAAATAAATGGGACGTTTTTCGGTAGCCATAGACTATTAGGTTCCAGCCAACAGTGAACGATAACATCCGACAACCCGTATTTAGAAATCTCCGGGGCATCGGAAGTAGACCATCGTAGTTTTCCACTGAGAGGAAGTGGAGGAGTGTAATGCGTGTTTTCGAGCACGTTCTTGTTTTGTTTGACAAAACACATTTGCAATTTTAGGGCAATGAACTAGGAAGGAGCGGATGCTTACGAAATGTTTCAACGAAAGAGTAGTCATCTGAGAAATTCTATTCTCAGGCTCACATGTTATACATAAGTGGTCTTTTGTGAGCGCGGCCGTTTGTTCTCTTTTGTCAGTGTTTGCGCTCGAAGGCACATACGCGAGTTCGTCGAGCATCATGTAACAAGGGTGAGTCGTCCAGAAATTAATTGCCAATGTAAATATGAACAGATAATAAAGTAAGTGTGCGACCATCACTTTCTTGTTGTCGCCTTCCGTGTCATCCCTCATTCGTCCCGCCGCAGTCCTTTTTCTCTGCAGGAATGGGGTGTTGCGCTTCGAGGTATTTATCCGTAGCAACGGATGTTGTTTATATTTGGGCTTAAACTGTTGCTCCCACAAGCCGGCGCCGTTTAAGCCCCCTCCTTCCCCTGCTTTCGTCACCCACAGAAGTGCAACAAAAAGACAGGCCTTTTGTTCTTTCACTCCCAAGCTCGCTCACATCCACCTCGCATCTGTCTCCCTTCGTCCGTTTGTCGAGCTTACGATATAGTAATGGAAAAGACAAAGATGGAACTTATAAGGAGGATAGTGAGAAAGCGGGAAGGTTTCCTTCGACGTCCTAACCTGCTAGATCGCTGTGCTTCCATTTAAATCACATTCAAAAAGACGGCCCTTAGAATCGTTCTTCTCTAAACCATTCGAGATCCTAATTATAAAGCACTATGTGCGAAAATGGGTCTTTTTGAAGAGTCAAAATGATTATACATTCTTAGAACAGTCTTCCTTAAATTATAATAAA